CAGGCAATCCACTCACCTCAGCCTCCCAAGGGCACGGGATTACAGGCTGAGCCACCGAGCCCGGCTTCATTTATATATTTCATAAGGCTGCTTGGAGGGCAGAGTTGTGTAGTCAAGACAAAGACTCTAGGGCCTGCAAAAGCCTCAAATATTTACAGAAAAGACTTGCCAGCCCTGCTTCTGAGAAATCACCTATAAACGATGTGATGTCTGGGATTCACTTTAAAATAATCCAGTGGAGGAGGGAGAAAATGTAAGTGAAGCAAGGGCTAAGAGGTGATACTTACACTTGGGTTCATCATCCTAGACACTCTGTTTATACGTTTGAATGTTTCCATGATAAAACACTTATGCAAAAGGAGGGCCTGCCCTCCACAGCCTCCCAACTGCTCTGATCCCACACCAGGACCCTGGCATCTCTGATCTAACAAGGGCATCTGGACAAAGCCATCACCATTCACCCTGTTCTGCACCTGCCCAACGATGACTTCTGTCCCAGGCTAACCAGAAAGGTCATGGGTGCTGAGAGAGCCCCCCAGAGCCAGCCATGCAGTGAGTGCCCCCATCCAGGGCCCTGGGTGTTCTGGAAACGGAAAGGACACTATGGGAAGGGGGCCCCTGTCCTGAGGTCAGGCCAAAGATCAGGGGGCTCAAGTAAGTCTGCTTTCTATGTCCCTCTGAGACTTGATGAAAGTATTTATTTATTTATTTAGAGTTGGAGTCTCACTCTGTTGCCCAGGCTAGAGTGCAGTGGCACAATCACAGCCACCGCAGCCTCAACCTGCTGGGCTCAGTTGATCCTTCCACCTCAGCCTTCCAAATAGCTGGAACCATGGGCACCCACCACCACGCCTGGCTAATTTTTCAATTTATTGTAGAGACGAGGTCTTGCCAAGTTGCCCAGGCTGGTCTCGAACCCCTGGGTTCAGGCAATCCCTTCGCCCCTGCCTCCCAAAGTGCTGGGATTATAGGCATGAGCCACCATACCCAGCCCCTGGTGAAAGTTTTAATACTGACCACTCAGGGTCATTAGACAGACTCAGAGAAGAGAATGCATACATATGTAAGGCAGTGGCCCAGTCCCTAGTTCCTCTGTGTGGCCGCCATCAGCATTGGCTATCCTGATAGGCCTCAAAGCTGTGCGGATGTGACCTAAACCTGGTTAGAATCGTCATGGTTCTGGAAGTCAACAAAGTAGGGTGAGGGTTTTCCCCAAAGGCCATTTTCACCTGGAAGGACTAACCTTGTTTTCTAGAAACTTCATCATACAGATACCATCAGGCCTTCCCCACACATACACACTGCTCCCTCCTCTCGCCTGTTCCTGTCACTCCACTGTCCACTTCTGCCCCCACCCCGATGCGCTCACCGTGCGTCCTGTCTCCTGCCCCCTAATGTGTACCCCTGGTTTAACCCAAACACCAATCTCTTCAGTATTAGCAGGAACAATTCTGGAAAACCTGTTTTTTTCTCCCAGTGGAGATTGGCATCAGTCCTGACCCACCACTTCCTCTCTCTGGTCTTCACTCTGAGCCGCCTGTCTGATGTATTGCTTCTACTTATATTAGTTGAGATTTTTTTCCTTGCTTTTTTTTGTTGTTGTTTTTTTTTGAGTTGGAGTCTCACTCTGTCACCCAGACTGGAGTGCAGTGGCTGCTCCCGGCCACCGCAGCCTCGACCTGCTGGGCTCCAGCGATCTTTCCGCCTCAGCCTTCCAAGTAGCTGGAACTACAGGCGCGCGCTACCACACCTGGCTAATTTTTGATTTATTGTAGAGATGAGGTCTCACCAAGTTGCCCAAGCGGGTCTCAAACCCACAGGCTCAGGCAATCCACTCACCTCAGCCTCCCAAAGGCTCGGGATTACAGGCTGAGCCACCGAGCCCAGCCGAGATTTTTTTCCTTAATTGCAAAAGTAATACATGCTGATTAAGACGTGAAATTCACCAAAAAGGCCCAAAGACAGCAGTCCCCAAATTACCCAATCTCCTGACCCCCAGACACCTCTGCAGGGTCCCCCGCTCTGTGGCCTTCCAGCATCTCTTCTGTTCCTGCTGACTGTACTGAGATCTCGGTCCTGGACCTCATCTGGTCACCTTTTGGAGTTATGTCCAACATCAACTGAGCCCTAGGCCTAGCCTGGGGGTCCTCAGCTGGGAGCCATTTTTCCTCCCCATCCCCTGGGAGCATGTGGTAATGTCTGAAGTCATTTTTGGTTGTCTCCCCGGGTGGGGGGAGGGTGCTACTGGCATCTCGTGGGGACAGGCCCAGGATGCTGCTAAACACACTGCAATGCACAGGACAGGCCCAGATGCCAACAGTGCAAGGGTGGAGAGAACTTGCCCTAACCCCATCCCTGACCTACAAGCCTGTTCCCTCTACTGGCAGCACAGTGGCCGGGATCACCAGCCTAAAGCCAGGCTGCCTGCCGTCCAAGGCAGACTCTGCCCCTTCCGAGCTGGTGACTTACCTGGGCCTCAGTTTTCTTCACCATAAAATGGGGACAGCTAGACTCACCGTGTCAGAGTTGTTACTGCAGTAAATGAAGGGAAACATGTGAAGGAGCTGGCATGAAGTACTGACCCACCTGCCTCACAGGGCCCTGCCCCTCAGGCGAGACTCTCGTGAACTGTGCTCCATCTCTCCATCTCCTTCCTCCCCTATCCCAGAGAGTGGGGCTGGCACTCCTTTCGCTTCCTTAGCGACAGCCAGGGGAGCTTTGAACAGCAACCCTGCATGGGGAAGACAAGGGGACCAAATCAGGTACCCCGGAAGGACCCCACCCCCCCTACTCTGAGAACCTGAAAACTCCTTGCCCAGACATGCCCCCAGGCTCCCCTTGGCTCTGTGGCCTGCACCCGTTTTCATGGTCATCTCTGTCCCCTCTCATGTGGGACTTCGTCACGAGGCTGTAGGACTGGGGAACTTCTGGGTAGGACTGGGGATCTGGGTCAGCCCTTTGTCTGACTCAGTTCCTCCTCCTCCTCACAGGGGCCTGGGACCAGAATCGCCTTTGCAGGCCCAGGGCCTGGCTGAGGCCCGGTCTTGAACAAGGCCATGGTACCGTGGCATCCACACCCCACCCGTCACTGTAGACAGAGTGGGCTGCTGTGATGGGGAACCTGGGTTCTGAGACATAAGCAAGTCCATTCCCCTCTCTGTGCCCCACCTACTGGCCATCTCCCAGCCTAGGTTTCCTCATCTGTCAAATATGGGCCTGGTGAGGACCGTGGCAAGTGCCCAGCCAGCACAGGGGGCTCGTGCAGACCTGAGCCCCTCTCTCTGCATCCAGCCTCTGGCTCTGCCCAGCCCTGATCTTGGCCTCTGCCTCCAGCCCCTGCATCAAATGTTTCCTGACTCACCCACACACACCCGGCCCTTCCCCTCCAGCCAGCCACTTCCCTCCCTGATTTAAGGCTGGAGTTTCCCGTCTTGTTCTTTTCCGTCAATGCCCCCCCACACTCTGCCTCCCTCTGGTTTTCCTCCTCCCCAGCCCCCGGCACCCTCTCCCCCTACCCCAAAGAAAAGCCTCCTGGTATTGCTTTCCCCCTTCAGTGCCACCCCACACCTGGCCCCAGGTGCCACAGCAGCTCTCAAGGCTGCAGTGGAAAAGGAGCAAGTGCATGGCCTGGGTGCTTCTGCCTGCCAGTGAGTGTGCACAGAGCCCCCCAGACCCACCTGTGTCTGCAGCCACTAGCATTTTCTTGTTCTTTTTTTTTTTTTTTTTTTGAGTAGGGGTCTGTTACCCAGGCTGGAGTGCAGTGGCATGCTCACGGCCACTGCAGCCTCGGCCCACTGGGTTCAGGTGATCCTTCCGCCTCAGCCTTTCAAGTAGCTGGAACTACAGGTGCATGCCATCACACCCAGCTAATTTTTTATTTATTTTAGAGACAAGGGCTTGCCAAGTTGACCAGGCTGGTCTCGACTCCCTGGACTCAGGCAAATCCCCTTGCCTCGACCTTCCAAAGCGTTGGGATTACAGGTACGAGCCACTGTGCCCAGCTTTCTTTTTCTTTCTTTCCTTTTTTTTTGTCGGAGTCTCCGTCACCCAGGCCGGAGTGCAGTGGCATGTTCACGGCCACTGCGTCCTCGACCTGCTGGGCTCAGGTGATCCTTCTGCCTCGGCCTCCTGAGTAGCTGGAACTACAGGTGCATGACACCATGCCTGGCTAATCTTTTATTTATTTATTTATTGTAGAGACAAAGTCTCACCAAGTTACCCAGGCTGTCTCGAAGCCCTGGGCTCAGGCAGTCCTGTCGCCTCTGCCTCCCACAGTTCTGGGATTACAGGTGTGAGTCACCGTGCCCAGCTACTGACATTCCCCAAGGAGCAGGTTCTGGCCCGGATGCAGGGGCTATTCCCGGCACCACCAGATTCACTCACTCCTAAAACAATAGACACCACTGACAGGAGCCATCCAGGGGAAGGCTGGCCAGGAGCCCCCTCTCTTGACCACTGTGTGGCCACTGCTGGCTCACTGCTAGGCCCATTTCATGGAGTGGGAGACTGAGGCTCAGAGTGGCATGTGAAGAGGGAAGTGGAGCCATTGAGGACTCGGCAGGGCATGGTGACAGATGACAGAGTGGGACTCAGAGGAGAGAAGAGACTCAGCCGGGGACACCACCCCACACAGTCCCACTGTCCTGCCCCAGGAATCAAGGAGGCAGAGCCCAGGGAAGGCTAGAAAAGGGACCCAGCGACCAAGGCCAGGGCAGATGGAAGGGCAGCCCCCACCTTAGCATGGTTATCTGAGCATTTATTTCCGGTCTCCAAACCACCCCAGAACTATTTGGGGCAGGAGGGAGAAAATAGACTGCTTTACTTCCGCCCAACGCCTTTTCTCCCCCCGGCCCCCTCCTCTAGCCTCAACTGGACTCTGAGCATCTAACCCTGCAACTCCAGGAAAGCAGTTTCGTTTCCCCTGGGCCGATTTCCCAAAGGGAGGGGTGGGTGGGGCTGGGCTTCTTTAAGGGGAGAGAAGGGGCGGCACAGACGGCAGAGGGCAGAGGAGAGGAGAGCAGGCTGGCAGAGAGACGGGACCCCCGAAGTAGGGACTGCCGGGCAGTCAGACGGGGGAAGGTGAGAGAAGAGCGAGAGGAGGAGTAGGAGACTAGGAGGCAGGACGAGGAGGGAGGCGGGGACGGTCGGGACAGTTCAGGGGACTCAAGGACGCTGTCCGGGGACACGAGAGGAGGGAGTCTTGGGGCTCGGGCTGGGGCGAGCAGCTGGACAGCCTGTGGGGAGGCAGAGTCAGACTGGGGGGCACAGGCCCCCGTCACAGCGACCCTCGCTTCTCCTCCACCCCAGACACCGCCTCCCACCGTGAGTCATGGCCTCACTGGGTGAGTAAGCAGGAGAGCTCTGGGACCAGAGGGCAGGACCCCGCCTGCGCCACCGCCTGCCCTCTGACCCTGTCCTCTTCCTCCCCAGCCCTGCACTTCCTCGTCCTCATCCCCATCCTCCTCAGCCTGGTGGCCTCGCTTGACTGGAGGGCCAACCCCAGCCAGGACCCCTTAGAGAAGTGCATGCACGACCCTGACTATGAGCAACTGCTCAAGGTGGTGACCTTGGGCCTCAATCGGACCCTGAAGCCCCAGAGGGTGATTGTGGTTGGCGCCGGCGTGGCCGGGCTGGTAGCTGCCAAGGTGCTCAGCGATGCTGGACACAAGGTGAGAAGTGCTTGCTGTTTGCAGTCTACCTTAAGTCTTTCCTGCTGCAGGTTGGAGTGGGGGGTGGAAGTGGAGAGAGAGAGACCCATCCTTTCCCCATGGCCTGGGAGTGAGGCCCAAAACCCCCTCCTGTCATGTGTCTGCAACTGGGAGGACCTGGCTTTCTGGCCCCACTTGTCCTCATCCTGGAGGGAAGTCCCACTCACTCGAAAAGGTCCTCCATCCAGTGTGAGGTGTTAGTGGAGATGGAAACTCCACCAAGGGGAAGTGCTCCTTGAGCTCTAACCACTGTCCCTTTCACTGAAATCCAAGAATGAAAATGGGCCACCCCAGGGGTTTCTACACATGCGGGAAATCTCCACTCCCTGAGCTGGGAAGTCCCTCTGCAATCTAGCCAGCAGGCTTCCTACTGCTCACTAGATTCTGTTCTTCCTGTAAGTTCCTGCTGCCTCCCATGAAGAAAAGGATCTTTCTACTCTAGGTCTGCGCTGCTGTGGGGATGGCAGAAGGCCAGGGGCTGGCATGCGGTGTGGGGTGGTCTGTGGGAGGAGCTGAAGGGCCTTGCCCGCCCAACCCCCATTCCGCAGGTCACTATCCTGGAGGCAGACAGCCGGGTTGGGGGCCGCATCTTCACCTACCGGGACCGGAAGACGGGCTGGATTGGGGAGCTGGGAGCCATGCGCATGCCCAGCTCCCACAGGTGACCTGGCAACCGGGCGGGCTCTGGGGTCCCCGTCCCACCCCTGTGCCCAGACTCACCAGAACCCCAGTTTGACCCCCACTGCAGTGTTAGCCCGGACCTCAACGCTGAGTCCCAAACCTAGACCCAGCCTCCAACTCCATCCCTCACCCGCATCGACCTCTGGGTTTCCTGGGCCAACCCTACCACTGTGCCTCCAGCACAGCCGGACTCCCAGCTGGCCCCGCCCCACCCCAAGGCCGCCTCCACCCCTGCGCCCTCCAGGCCTGCAGCTCTGCCTCCCTGGATGCCCTGGGTCATCCCAGGCCCCGCCCCCACCCAGGTCCCATCCTACCCAAACTCTGCCCCCATTCCCATGTCCCCTTCGGACTCGGACTTCACCCCTGGGGAAGCCATCCCCATGTCTCCCCCAGCCTACTCCTAGCACCACCCTCAGCCCTCCAACCTCATCCCCATTTCAGTCCCGCCCCCCAGCATCGTCACCGGCCTCAGACCTAGCCCCCGCCGGGCCTCCCGTGGGTCCCCAACTGCCCTCCCTGCCCCTCCCCTTCCCCAGGCCCTGCTCTGGCCGGCCCTCACACCCCGCTCTCCGGCCCAGGATCCTGCACAAGCTCTGCAAGAGCCTGGGGCTCAACCTGACCAAGTTCACCCAGTATGACGAGAACGCATGGACTGAAGTGCACAATGTGAAGCTGCGGAACTACGTGGTGGAGAAGATCCCGGAGAAGCTGGGCTACGCCCTGCACCCCAGGGAGAAGGGCCACTCCCCCGAAGACATCTACCAGATGGCTCTCAACCAGGTGGGCCCTGGCCACTCCCGGATGAGCCTCTCTCCTCTCTCTCCCATCGTTGGCCGCCCTGCCGTTGGTCTCCCCGTAAGCACTGCTGATGCCCAAGGCTCCGCTGGCCTTCGGGCTCGTCCGCCCCTCCTCACTCACACACTGTCCTGGACAACCTCGCCTCTGCCTTGGGCCACAGGTGGGTCCACAGCCTCCCAAGCCTGTCTCCCCACACCCAGGCCTGGGTCTCTCCCAGGGCCCCCGGCTCCACCCAGCTCAGTACCTTCCCCTAAACCCGTTCATACTCCCAGAGGCCCATCTCACAGCAGCCCTGCCCTCCCCCCGTCGTGGGCAGACCCCAGGTGCCTTTGCCCCCCACCCCGTCAGTGCCCAACCCCAGCCCAGCACCCGTATGTCCCGCTCCCACCTCTTTTGGCTTTTTTTTGGAGTCGGAGTCTCACTGTGTTGCCCAGGCTAGAGTGCAGTAGCACGCTCCCGGCCACTGCAGCCTCGACCTTCTGGGCTCAGAGGATCCTTCCGCCTCAGCCTTCCAAGTGGCTGGAACTACAGGCACACTCTACAACGCCTGGCCTTTTTATTTATTGTAGAAACGAGATCCCACCAAGTTGCCTCGCCTCAACTTTCCAAATTGCTGGGATTACAGGCTTGAACCACTGCACCCAGCCTTTGCTCCCACCTCTTTGTTCTCCAGCTCAGGCCTCCTCCTCCCCTGAACCCTAACCCAGCCTCCTCCCTGGCTGCCCAGCCCCCAATCTCCTCCAACCTGGCACCAGAAGGATCTTCCCGCACCCAGAGCCATCCTGCTCGCAGCCCCCTGTGGCCCCCAGTGCCTCTAGGACAAAGTTCCAGCTTCTCAGGCTCAGGTTGGAGCCCTGAATGGCCTAACCTTCCCACCCCTCTAGCCTCATCTTCTTTTCTCCTCCAAGGAATTTCTGTTACCTCCGAGGTCTTCAAATGCCCTGACTGTGTGATCCTTCACACCCACCACACTTGTTCGTCACCCCACACCATGCCTGGAGCGCCTTTCCCTTCCCTTGCAAGGAACTCCTCACCCCTCAAGACCCAGCTCCAAAGTCCTTTCCTCCAGGAAGCCTTCCCTAATGCCCTTGGGGAGCAGCCAAGAGTCCTTTACTTGTCCATCTCCCCTCCTGGACAAGGGTGGGGACTGAGTCTGGGTCATGTCTGTGCCATAGCCCTAGTCAGTTTGGGAGCCTGGAGAGATGCAAGGTGAGAGTGAGTGAGTGGAGGGCGCATCTCTCCTGGGGAGCTCCCAGGCCATGAGGGAGAAGCAGGTGAACCAAGAAGAGGACTGAAACTAGATGGGGGGCACCAAGGCTTCCGGGAGGAGGTGAGACCTGAACAGAGCTAAGGGACAGTCACTTGTGTGCCAGGCAGAGTAAGGGCAGGAGGACAACAGGCACAGCACATGGAGGTGGGAGGGCCCATAGCGTGGTCTGGGTACTGGACATTGTTCAGTGGAACTAGAGCTGCCATTAAAGGCGGCGATGGTGGAGCTGGCAGGGACCTCGAAAACCATGCTGAGGGGCTAGAGCTCTGTGGCTCCAGGCACTGGAGAGCCACTGGGGAATTAAACTCAGCAGTCATGCCTAGTCAGTGCCAATTGGTGGCAGAGGGGGCTCAACTTCTGACCGTGCCCACAGATAGTCACTGAGCACCAGAGGACACAGGACCAGTGGGATAGACACAGTCCCCGCCTTCATGGGGCTCTCAGGCTAGTACAGAAATAGGCAAGGCCAGATGCGGTGGCTCACTCCTATTATCCCAGCACTTTGGGAGGCTGAGGTGAGAGGATGGCCTGAGCCCACGAGTTCAAGACCAGCCTGAGCAACTTGGCGAGACCTCATCTCAACAATAAATTAAGAAATCAGCCAGGCAATGATGGCATGTGCCTGTAGTTCCAGCTACTTGGAAGGCTGAGGTGGAAGGATCGCCAGAGCCCAGCAGGTCGAGGCTATGGTGGCCATGAGCGTGGGCCCAAAAAAATAAAAGAAATAGGGAGAATGACAACCAACCGGGATGCAGAGTGACACCCCGGGTGGACCAAATGCTGAGGAATAAAGGCATGAACCGTTTAGAGAGACTTGCAGGAGCAGTGACATCCAAGTTGAGTTGCAGTGGAGGGTAAGACTGAGGGTACAGCATGGGCAAAAGCCCAGGGACTTGAAAGAGTGGTCAATGAGCTGGGCTCGGTGGCTCAGCCTGTAATCCCGCGCCTTTGGGAGGC